GACTTTATTTTCTCAAAAACCAGACAGCAAATGAAGAAAAAAAAAGTTTGATGTACTCATTAAGAGTTTATAGGAAACTTGAGACCTATGCTCAGCTATACCCTGCAGTGTTGGTCTAGCTCTCTCTTAATCCGGATAACCTCACAAGGCAAGGATGAATATACGGGATTATGAAACGAATCCCTACATGGAGCAGTCGGGCAATTATCAAGGAGCGCGCGGAAAATACCACAATCATGACATTTTATGCGCTCTAGCTCGAGAACAACCCAAGGGCGCCGCGATACTGACGTTTACCAAGTAAACCTAGTTAATGTTTGGTGTAGAGATTTCTTTTATTGCATTCTGTCTGAGATTATTGCTGTTTTGTAGTGTAGGCTAGTTTGTCTCGGGACATTGCATCAAATAGCACTGAAAGTAGGCTCCAATTTGGCACAGACTTGGAAAACAACTAAATATGCATTAATGCCATATGGTTAACCCGATTTTCTTTTTTGTTTAGTAACCTATTGCTTTTTCAGTCTACAAGTGTTCATGTTTTCCTATCTGACTTTGTTATCGCCTTAAAGTGTGTGTGTGTGTGTGTGTGTGTGTGTGTGTGTGTGTGTGTGTGTGTGTGTGTATGTTTAGGCCTGTGTGTGTGTTCGAGAGACAGAGAGAGGATCTGTGTCTTAAGAACATTTCGTGGTCTAATGCGCCATCTAGCGCAAATATATGGAAACTGCTTGACACCCGTTTTAAAGTAGGCCTAAGTCTAGGTCTAATGTGCTGCTGTTGACCCTTTATCTTATTATTGTTCGTATAGACCACTTGCAATCAACTTGGAATCAACATCGTTTTAAGATACTACTGATTTCTTTAAATATGTGCAGTAGGCTAATAAGCTAACTTGAGCACTGTTGATGAAAGTCATTATCTTCAAGACATGTCTTTCATCACTTTGCTAAATGTGATTATCCTAAGGGTTTATAAGAGATATTTAAGGGTTGTAAAAATCCCAAAGAGAGCACAGAGTACTGGGCTTGTCGACCTATGTGGGGACACTGTCTGACAGTGCCAATAGATTCATTGACATGTAATGTAGACCTTATGTTTGTTTATTAATTTAGATGGCCTACACTGGTATTACAGGCTAGTAATTGGCAACTTGTGATTTTAACACATTTTTTGCCAATTTACACATAATAAAATATTGTTAGGCTGTGGTTTTGAAGCAGTTATCATGTTACCTGTGTGACCTGGTCAGCGGTCATGTTGACAGGCTAACATGTTGCACCACTAATTAGTAGTAAGTGCAACTTGCGGCTAGACATACAGAAAATGTTGCACTTATTAGAGTACTACGTTTATCAGGAAGTGGCTTAAGTATGAAGTGGGTAACCTTTGAATATTAGGATATTGTTATATATAGGCTATTATAAACTGGGTAGTTTGAGCCCTGAATGCTGATTGTCTGACAGTCGTGGTATATCAGACCGTATACCACAGGGATGAGTGACAAAACATGTATTTTTACTGCTCTAATTACGTTGGTAACCAGTTTATAATAGCAATAAGGCACCTCAGGGGGTTTGTGGTATATGGTCCAATGTACCACAGCTAAGGGCTGTGTCCAGGCACTCCGTGATGCGTCGTTCATAAGAACATCCCTTAGCCGTGGTATATTGGCCATGTACCACACCCCCTTGTGCCTTATTGTTTAATTGGACCTGTCTTTTGTAAACTGCCACATTAATGACACTCACTGGATGTTTCCGGAGGAAGTGGTGGAGGACAACACCCACAGTATCTGTCAATGGAAAAGATGCAATTAGGGCCTTCATGATCTACTGGAACATATTCCAACAGTCTTAACATGTCTTGTTTTAAGTGGTCATTACATGTATTTTATGTCAGAGTTTGCCTGGAGGAATAGCTACAGTAAATGATACTTATCCATTTCAAGATGCTATTTGCAAGTGTCAGATCTCTCAAAACAGGCTTCCACGTGGTTTCTTGGTTGCATCTGTTAGCTATTACTGAAAGAAAGGATAATGGCGTTATATTTGTATATTGTGACTGAGTCCTCTAGTATGTTTCCAAAATATATAGTTCATATAAATGAAGCATTCTCTTTTAGGTAGGTTTATTTGGAGCACATCCAAAGGTCATATTTGAATGGACTGGATAGGAAAACATGTTCATTGGTGTAGCCATAGCACAAGCTGATGTACAGGGATCTTGGATTATCTGGACAAATGGTATTTTCCCCCTCGTAGTGACTTACTTGACAGTGTGTTTTGAAAGTGAAAACATTTGTTAACTTTGCCCTGGAAAAGAGAGGCGTGTTAAGACAAGAATCTTGAGAAATTGTCTCTTTGAAAATGAAAGTTTGTATGTTTTGCCACAGAAATGTTGCCTACATTCATGACTGTGTAAGTTAAGTGTAAGTGAAATATGAAGTAATATGTTGTCATGTGCTGAGTTTTGTACATGGGTTTGAAACACCATTGTGTTTGTGAATCCACTCCAGCATCTGTCAAAGGGGGATTTTTCATTATAATCCCCACCTGGCACGAAGAGCAAACACTGCAAGGCACCTAACTGTCTCTAAACCCAACCGTCCAGCCTTGCCTGCCTCTCTCACAACAATTGAACAGGTGCTCATCTGAATGTGTTATCGCAAAGCCCTGCCACTATGTGGAAATCCGTCAACTATTATCTATGAACATTCTGAATGCACCAAATGCAACTGTAAAGGACTGATTTTATTCATGCAAATCTTGATATTACGGAATATATGTTATGGCTGGATAGAGTGTGGAAGTTTGCTTGTTCTCTCTCCCACACCCATACTGTACATATACAGTACATGATAATTAAATATCAGTGCACTGATTACCTGGAGATTAAAAATTGGAGCATAAAATCCAATTCAGAGCTGAAGATATTCTCAAATCTAATATATTAAATGAGAACATACCAGCCATGGTGAGAATCACTTTTACTTTGGTTTGAATTAGATAGGTCTCAGAGAGTACTGTTATTCTGAGCCAGTCCCACAGCAATAAAGTGATTCATCGGCTAGATTGCATTTTAACAGGATGTTGATTGAGAGCATAAGCCATATTGATTTTCCTGATGGAAACAGGAAATAGCCGAGTTAGAAATACAATTATTTGTTGTTCCCGGTGTGAGGAGGCCCAGAGGACTGGCAGGCAATTGCACACTGATGAGTGGCACTGCCCCCAACACACCTCCCCTCTATCCTCTCCCCTATGGAGGCCTGGTAGAGACGTCATCTGTGGTTGTTACGCTGCGAAATGATGCCTGCACTGACTCCCCACCCCCTGTTACTTGCAATTTAGCCCCAGTGATCTGTCAGGAAAGAAGGACTACTACCTCTGCTGCAGCATCTTCTACATGAAGATGGACCCCCAACCCCAGGTTTCCCCAACCTGGGAGGAAATGTATGTTTGGGTTGTGACATTGATGAGGAAATCAGTTAATGTATCTATAAGCAGTGTGATGGGATTTCAGTCCATGTATTTGTTTTCCTTGATCATTGAACAACAGCTGTTACCATCTTTAGCCAATGACAATGGGGCAGCCTGATGATGGGATTTTACAGGTCACAGGAACACTTTATCGGATGATAAAGGATTACCTCTTATAAATTATTATTTTCTAATTACAATATTGAGAAAATGTCGGAATGATTTCCTGCTCATCTATGTTTGCTTGGCTGCGTTTTGTCTCCAAGGTTGTTTTGTCGGTAAGAGGAAAGATGCCCCCATCCCCCTCCAAACACATACAAACCAAGCCCTCCTTTCCTCTCCTCCTCCATCCCCTCCCTTCCCTCTAACACACACTCACGCTCTGGAGAAACGCGTCACTGAGCTTGGGGACTCAGCGGCTCATTAAGGAGAAGGATGTGATATTCTGAATCGAGACTGTGAGACTCCCAGCACGCCTATTTATAGATGCAATATCTCTATGGCAGTCACCGTGGCGTTGGCTAATCGCAGCCGCGGCCCCAGACACCAATTAAGAATGAAACAAATGCTTTTTAGGTGGGGTATGCCCCTCCCTTCTGCTAAGGTCCTTCCGTCCGCCACACTGCCTGGTTGGGGAGCGGATCTGCTTGGAGCGTATTCCTGCATCAGGTCGGGACACAAGGAGGACGGCATGCAGAGTGCAGTCAAAGCCCTGCCGTGGCTATTTTTAAATGCCCCCCTCTGGAGAGCTAGGTTTTTTATATTGTGGTTGTTTTCATATGTTTAACTCTGGGTCTGGGATGTCCGTGGATATGTTGAATTGCTGTGACTCATAGGGCATAAAGGTAAGAGATGCTATTGTGAGCTATGGGTAAAGGATGAGGATTAGGGTGTGTGTGTATACTGGTATATTTTGGCTCTGTTGGGCCCTTGTGGCGTTCTTTTCCTTGCAATGTCTGTTTACCAAATTGATGTGAGCAGCTGTACAGAGTATGCATCTGATAGAACTGGTATGTGAGTGTGTCAGGATCCAAGAACATTACCTCTCTTCACATTTCTAACCAGTACTTTACTGACTCTTTCTCAGTCTCTGCTAGCACTACTGCTCTCTCTCAGCATTCATCTATTTAAACATCTCTATGTCCCTTCATAAATCCTGTTCCCAATTTTACCCTATCAAGTTTAGCATATTGATGGTAATATTACAACAAAGATTGGTTGCCTTTTACAAAATCACACAAACTAAACAGTCACTTATCAGAACCATGTCAGAAACACTCATGAATTCAACCAATCAATCGATCAACAAGTCTCTATTAACCCTGTGGGAAATGTGGTGTGAAGTCAGGATAACACATGAAACTGGTTAGGCTACAATACATGACATTGGATTGGAAACATGATATAACTTGCCAGTTCAATAGCTACACTGAAAAAAGTATTCAGGCCGCATAGCATTTATGATACATGTCTGCCAATCGAAAATACCAGGGATGACAACATCAAAATATGAGAAAGATAATGATGATGATAATGGTGATGATGATGATTATGATGAAGACATACTGTAGTTGCCTTATCAATTTAACATAATTGTTTTAAAAAATGGGGGTTGTTGTTTGTCGTTGTTGAAGAGAAAATGATGCGATATTGGGTTGCACTTCATAGTAGGATGGACCATTAGGAGATCATTAGCAATCTAATGCTTTGGCATTTAAAGCATGATGCCTAGCCACTCCACTTCCAGTCTGAAAAAACTTGGCCTCAGTTGAAAACGCTGGTGTCAGCAGCCCTTAATGTTGCTTCTGGGGTCCTTTGTGGGAAATATTGTAACGTTGTATGAGGAGACAGAAAATACAGAATTCACAAGAACAGCACAATCGGTTACATGCACAATTAATTCAACTAGGTCTGGGTTATTATGTTTAAAGAGGTCCAATCCAGAAAAAATATCCAATCATGTATGGTGATTATTTAAACTGTTATTTGCAAGTTGGCCAAATAGTAGTGGGCACTCATGGTGGTGTCAGACTGATGGCTTTCTTTGCAGCTGGAGGAGAAATGTGATACTCTGGTAGTAATGGGGGAGATGGTAGGCATGCATCATCTAATGGTGCTTAGTAATGACTGAAAGGAAAACAATTAGATTGTGATCCAACCTTGAGAAATTATGGAATACTGTAATAATGAGTGTATTATGTACAGTACATTGTATAAGCACAGAACTCTGATAACTTAATGTATGGAAGAAAACTGTTGATATATTATATAATACATAATATAGCTACATAACAGTATATACATAAGAGTTGCACTAACATTTCATCCTCTCTCTCCTCTCATCTCTCTCTCTCTTGCTCTCTCTTTCTCTCTCTCTCTAGTTCCACCAGGTTAGAAGAGTGATGACCATCCTGTTCCTTACTATGGTTATTTCATACTTCAGTTGCATGAGAGCTGCTCCCATGAGAGACGCCCTGGGTATGCGGGGCCACCGAACAGAAGGCTACTTGGGTGCTGCAGTGACGGCCGGCCGGGGTCCATGGGACTCCACAGAGCGGGGGTGGGCCGGGCCAGCATGGGGGACTGCCCTCGCTCACAGACACGTTTGAGCAGGTGATTGAGGAGCTCTTGGAGGTGGAAGGAGAAGCAGCTCAGCAGGGGGCTGGGCCTGACAAGGGCCAGGGAGGAGGGGGTCCTTCCTCTGTGGTCACCACGGAGACCAAGGATGTCGACCTGTATGCATCGCGGGTGATGATCAGCAACCAAGTGCCTTTAGAGCCACCGCTGCTTTTTCTCCTGGAGGAATACAAAAACTACCTGGACGCCGCTAACATGTCCATGAGGGTGCGGCGGCATTCTGACCCATCGCGGCGTGGAGAGCTGAGTGTGTGTGATAGTATTAGCCAGTGGGTGACAGCTGTGGACAAAAAGACAGCAATAGACATGTCTGGGCAGACAGTTACCGTCCTGGAAAAGGTCCCTGTCCCCAATGGCCAACTGAAGCAATACTTTTATGAGACCAAATGTAACCCTATGGGGTACACAAAGGAGGGCTGCCGTGGAATAGACAAGAGGCATTATAACTCCCAATGCAGGACAACCCAGTCCTACGTGCGAGCGCTCACCATGGATAGCAAAAAGAAGATTGGCTGGCGGTTTATACGGATAGACACATCATGTGTATGCACATTGACCATTAAAAGAGGAAGATAGTGTATATAATGTATAGATTTTATTGAGAGTTTAAAAAAGAGAGTAAAGAGAAAATATCTATTTGTATATATACATAACAGGGTAAATTATTCCGTCAAATGAAGATTTTATGGACTGCATGTAAAAAAAGATGACGTTTATACAGTAAAAGTGATACTACAGTCTATTTATTGAACATATTCATGACCTTGTAAACAATTAAAAAAAGATCTGATCAGTAATTTGCGCCCAGTTTAAATTACTATATCACATTCCTCAAGACATTGTGGTTTGTTTACGTTGCCAAGAATTTGAGAAAGAAGGAAAAGAGCGGTGTGGATGAGGGAGAGGGTGAGGACGAGTTCCATAAAAAAAAAAATTGCATGCTGCTTCAATTGTGATTTGAGAATTTGTCCACCTAAGAAAAAAGGATATGATACTGACCAAAACATTCCGTTTACATACTCAACAGTAAAAGGGTTTTCCTCCTCAGTACTTTATCTGTTTACTGTTCTAAACTTCTCAAGGTAATGTTGGAATTACATACTATGTCAAGGTGCTGTTGTCAAAGCTTTGCTGTTTATTTTTTTATCCCCACCAGAGGACAAAATATAAGAATATAACATTTATTCATTGACATATGTTTCTGGATTAATATAATTCATTTTGTATGTTGTGAAGTTGTTTGCAATATTAAATTGAAATATTTGAAGAAATAAAAATGACTATAGGCAACTGAAAAACAAAACCAATGTCAATAAAGTTTGAACCCTGCATTTCTAGTTACACTGCATAAACATTAGATGAAAACATGAATGGACGGACGGACAGCCAGACAGATCGGCCAGACAGATTGGCAGACAGATACATAAATACCTACCTTCCTACATGCATACCTACCATCCTACCTACGTACCTGCCTGTCTGCTTGCATGCAGACCAGAGGAGGCTGGTGGGAGGAGCTATAGGAGGACATGCTCATTGTAATGGCTGGAATGGAATAAATGGAATGGTATCAAAACATATGGAAACCGCATGTTTGACAATGTTCCATTTATTCCATTACAGCCATTACAATGAGCTTGTCCTCCTATAGCAGACAGACAGACAAACAGACAGACAAACAAATAGAACACAGATAGATTTTATTTTCATCAGCATTGGCTTGGTTATAAAAGCCTCAATATATAATCAATCAACCACACAAAGAATCAGAACATATAGTAGGCCCATAAGTCTACGTCGTATAGCCTAGGCTACAAGCTGATCTTTGATGGCCTCTGAGAGCTTGATGATAATTACATTCGAAAGTTCTCAATCCTGAAGACAGGATCCTTGACTGGTGTATTCCTTGGATGGGCCATCTCAACCCTGTCCCATCATCACAGGTAGGTGTCCTATGTCCCATAAAAACATTCTCTCACAAAGGATACCAAAACATGCCTAATTGTGATAATAAAAGATAACAATAAAAGTGCATTCAAGGTATATTCCATAAGATTTGCACACACAAATAGCACTTAAATTCTAGTATATATCTATAGTAGTCAGGAAATTGCATTTTATGAGAGCAAAATCACATTATAGGCTTATATAATGTGTTTACAAGTCTCCTATCACAACAAAAACATAAACAGTGGGTCAATAGTCTATGTCCTCAGTTTTGCAGTTATGATAAGGTAACACAGGTTTAATACATAGTAATGAGTACTAGGCCTATTTGGTGTTTCAGCTTTCAGTAGGCACATTCCCTATTGGTGTGAGAAGTGGAAAATCATCAATAGAAATGCATACATGATGCAAGCACTGACAGAGATCAAAATGATGGTTTTAAACATATTGAAGCAACATTGTAGGTTTACAAAGACATTTACAAACAAATCTTTTTTGGGTTATGAATAATGATCAGATAAGACATTTTAATAACTATACGTTAATATATATAATTTAAATAACCATTGAAAAGCTGTAAATATTGCAGGTTATACATTTGTGACACCAAATTTTCTAAAATATCAAATAAAACATTAGTGATGTATGACTTCTCAGTTTTTCCCCGTTTGTGGAGTGGGCACATTGACCGCATATTGCGCAGAGGGATTGCGTCGATTGCGTGTCCTTGGCGCAACATCAATCCCCGTCAATACAGCTCTAATCTGTGGTTTGTAGCGGAGTGGATATTTTGCTAGCCTGATCATTTCTCCTGAACAGTGTCGGATTTTGGCTATTATGGCTTCATTGGGGGAACCTGTCCGACTGGAAAGAGGTAACACGTCAAACCACACAGATTGCTTGATCAATAATAATAGTTAAACCGATGAAAATACACATACTAGCCAAACAGATGGCTAGCTAGTTAACAACTAGCTAATCTGGAATTTAATTTAGTTAACTAACTGTTAGATAACTAGCGCTAGTCATTTAATCTTCAAATAACTAGCCCTCTCAAAACGGCGAAAGAAAAATAGATTATGCCAATATCATCGCTTTAGTTTTCTGAAAGACAGATGGGCTGAGTTGCTAATGTTGTAGCCAGCTAGCAAATTTAGCTAAAAGATAGCCATCCTCAAAGGCGGGTAGGTACCTTGTAGCGCCTGGTAATGTTAGCAGTTAGCACCCAAACAAAAGTACGTTAGCTAGCTAGGTTAGTTTGGAAATGTTGCGTCCGAAAACCCGGACTATGTTGCTTGCAGTCGTGATGATACAAGTTGTAAAGTTATGTCCCTGTCCGTTGATTTCTACCATGTGTTTACAAGCGGTGTGATCAAGATTTGGTAATGATCAGCTATGCCTGTATCATAATACCCTGTGCAGTGACATATTTACTTCATCAATCTACAAAATCAAAAACCAACAGACTCAATTGCTCTTGTGCTGGAGTGTTAGATCCTCTGCCTAAAGCAAGTATTTCCCAAACCAAAGTCTCTAAATCGATGTGGTTAGTTATTGGTAAGATTTCTGACGTGGGTGGTCTCCATGTTTTCTCCCCACAGACATTTCTCGAGCCATTGAATTGCTTGACAAGCTCCAGAGGACGGGGGAAGTGCCACCCCAGAAACTGCAGGCACTGCAAAGGGTCTTGCAGAGCGAGTTCTGTAATGCTGTGCGAGAGGTGAGCTGAGACTATGCCATTAAATGCCCTTCAAAGTTCAACTCAAACCCTTCACACCCTTCAAAGTTCAACTCAAATTATGTGGCCAAATCTGGACCTCAAGGCCAGAAGTACTGCTGATTTTAATTCCAATCAGGGTGAGTGATTCAGACCTGGGGCACCAGGTGAGTGAAAAAAACAGCAGTACTCTGGACCTCCAGGCTCTGATTTGTGTACTCTTGTGAGATGGGTCTGACACAGACAGGCCTATAAAAAAATGAATTGTTTGATTGCTGCCTATAGGCTAGTTATTTGACTTCTGATGTAAGATTTGTCATTCCTTCAATGTTAGTGTATCACAAAGCATTATTTTCAATGTTGTGATTACAAAATTAGCTATCCAGTCTGAGGATTAATTAATAGCTTGGAACCCTGGACAGCAAGAACTACCACGATCTCAATATTTAACATGTCAGACTTTTTGAAGGAAGTAATTCAGCTTTGCAGTTTGCATTTGACTATCCTTCTTTCTGCCTTTTCTAAACAACTCCCTAGGTGTATGAACATGTGTATGAGACAGTGGACATAAACAGTAGCCCTGAAGTCAGGGCCAATGCCACAGCCAAGGTATGTCAAAACAACAACAACCAATATTAAACAAAAACTCTGTAGGCAACAATCTGTTTCCGGGTTAACAACCTCTCCTCTCTTGCCCTGTAGGCCACAGTTGCAGCGTTTGCGGCCAGTGAGGGGCACTCACACCCTCGTGTGGTGGAGCTACCTAAGACTGAGGAAGGACTTGGCTTCAATATAATGGGAGGGAAGGAACAGAACTCTCCTATTTACATCTCACGCATCATTCCTGGGGGAATCGCCGACCGCCACGGGGGCCTCAAGAGAGGCGACCAGCTTCTTTCTGTCAATGGGGTGGTACGTGTCATTTATGCAGTCTGGCTGTGTCCGAATACCCGTAATTGCGTTCTAAATAGGCATTTTGTGAAGGCGAAAAATAAAGTTTTATAGTATGTGAAATTTTGAAAATTGAGTATGCTTAAAAAATTCCAGGATGTCATACTCATTTTGGCTTTTTATCTAGTAGAATTCGCTGCACACTTGAGGAAAATAATCGTATTTCGAGGCCCACATGTCTGACAACAGCTGATAATCAGCTGAGGGGACAAGCTGTACCAAAATGAACGAATGTAGGGAATCAACGCAATTGCGCATTAGATGATGTAGGATGAGCCTAGTATGCTGTTATATTTTTCTGACTGCATTCGTTTTTACTAAACAGTACGTTCTTAATAGTATGTAGTACGATTAATACACAGTATGCAGTTTAAGTAAATAGTAGGTAAGCCAGATTTCGGACACGGCCACTATCAATATACATTTATCATATGCAGTCACATAATTTTGTTTGTTATTGAAATGAATCCTCCTTTTATCTATCTCTCTTTCTTTCCACAGAGTGTGGAGGGGGAGCACCATGAAAAAGCTGTGGAACTTCTCAAAGCTGCCCAGGGCACTGTGAAGCTGGTGGTCAGGTACACTCCTAAAGTCCTTGAGGAAATGGAATCCCGCTTTGAGAAGATGAGGTCTGCAAAGCGCCGGCAACAGAACAGCTATCCCCAGTAGTGTTTTTCATCACTGGCACACAATTCCCTTATCTTTCACCCTCTTCCAGCTATCTGTCACAATTTTTACTTTCTCCTAAAACTTAGCACACTAAACCAAGTTTAGTTTGTATCCACATATATTCTATTTATACCTTTTCTACACCCTACCCCTGCAACTTCTTACACTGTCCTCCACACTACGACTCATTGCAAACAGTAGATTTATCATATTTCTACAAGTAGTTGGTCATTCACGCTTTACATGTGCATTACATTTTGGACGGACATATTGGATGCCGTTTGAGGACCTGTGAGACCCACCACAAAGGTTCCTTTGACTGAAGAGATGTTTTTAGTTTTTTTACAGCCTTTATAAAGTGCCTCAGGGCAATACATATGTATTTAAACTTGTACTGTCATTCAAATTACCCTCATTTTAATTTGGGTACAAAACTAAGGTCAGATGATTCAACATTTCAATGCCAGGTTTACTAAGCATTTGCAGGAATGCAAACTTCACATCTGCTATTTTTGAGCGCGAAAGGAAAACTGGTTGAAATGGAACACATTTCTGGGATATAAGGGGTATAGAATATACATATTATCGAAGAAATTAGGTATTGTGTGTAAATTGATATAGACATTTTGTATTTTGTGTTTACCAGTATATGAAGGCTAAATGGAGGCGGGTATGTTTTACCATTGTCTCTGTTTAGTTTTTCCTCCTGAAAATAACAGGTGTGAACGTTAGGTAGATCTCTGTTTAGTGTTCTAATCTTAAATTGTTAAGGAATTAAATAATGCATTCTCTGAATTTATTTTTAACCTCATGCTGATGTTTTCACTGTCTTACAAGCTTAAAAAAATGATTTTGCTGTCTCATAAAATATTCAGCAACTTCTAAGTTTTGCATCCCATGAATGATTTAGAGCCTTCAAATGCATATGTTTTCAGTGGGCTGGGAGAAGGCTTACTGAGATGCTGTGCTGTCTTTTACAATTCAGATAACCTTTTCCCCTTATGACAGTAAGGGGGGACAGTATACCATTTTGAGACCTGAGGCAAACCTGACATTTTAAATATTTCAAAAGAGCAATAAGTCAGAACCTTTTGAAACCAGAGGGGTATTTCTCGAACCGGTTCAGCAGAATAGCCACATTTTTTTGCCTCATTTCTTTGAGTTACTTTGCTCTAATCACACTTCAACGGTGTGGCCAACTCATTCAAGGTGGGTTTACAGTAGGTCGGCCAACTTGTCGCAGTGACGACAAAAACATTCCAATGTTTTCCAACATAAACTGATGTCTCCAAAAAGTATAAACGAGAAAACGACAGTATTGCACTACCACCAGCATGGTAGTTCGAAATAGGGTGCTACGTGCGATCTTTCAATATGAGTAAACCCATTATTGAATGGCATTCATTAAAAAATGCATGTGATCTACCGGTATGTGAAACCCACCTTCACTAATACAGTTAATAATAAAGACCAATAATGTTGCTATGCTGTTGCTGAGCTGTGGTTAAGTAAACAAAGCCATCTTTTTGGTTGCTGACTTTCAGGTTCGAATAATTACTTGTTGATCTATAAAATCAGGTAAATGTGCCATTTGGGTGAACTATCCCTTTAAGATGTGAACTTAATTTGGCATCACTGATTTCAATTTCAGATATGCTTGTTTTCACCTGAATAGTATAGTTTGTCTTTTTATCTTATGATGGTCACTCATGAATGTACTGTGCAATTGCAGTTATATTGATAAAATAGAAAGCCCATATGTGTATCCTTAAAATATGGATGATCATGTTCAAGTTGTTGGCTACTTTTAGCTTGAGATTCATAATATTCAGATAAACAGTTATGTGGGAAAGATCTGGCTCTGATAAAGGGCACTGCGAGTGGAGGATATCAGATTTTTTTTATACACTGGGGGTCTTTATTTACTAATGTTTTAACGTTTTTGCTTAATTGAATAAAATGTATTAATCTAAATCATGAAACCTTTTATATTTCCTTATCTCTAAAGTTTTCTTCATTTCATAAATAAAATATTGTATGTTCTATTCATTCTTTTAAAAATATGTTTAAAAATAAGCAAAGACTTAGCAGATTTGGCACCCCATAGCCAAATGGGGTCCGCTTGCCCCTCAATATGATAACTGAAATGTTGTCCTTGTGACTGACATTAATGGTTTCATCAGAATGTTCAGGACAGTTACCTTGCCAATTCCTAGAGCTTCGTGAAACACCCCTCAGGTTTCTACCTTCTTATATTTTGGAAGGGTCAATGGAATATTTTTGTAAGTGTTTTCTTTTGATATTTTTATTTTTTACAAGTGATTTTCATGAGAGAAAAAAATCTAGAAATGATTTGTATTCCTTTTCTGACTGTGTTATGTCCTTGTTTCGAGTACCAAGACCAAACTTGCAACATTTATCAGAACTATTTGATATCATATTGAATGTTTGCTTGTTTTGGACTGTTAGGCCTACTTACAAAATGTGCTGCTCTCAGTTTATTATTTCCATTTGTATTGTGTTACATTTATTGTGGATGTATATAATTATTTAGATCAAAATTATTTAGATTGAAAACTGCACAAATAAATTATACCATGAAAATCTGTTATGTTGTTTTTATTTGCTTATTTTTATTCTCAACAACAAAAAATATTACTATCACTTTTATTGTGCATTTCCTTTAATGCATAAGTAGTTTTAACCTTTTTGTTTAGGAAGCCTACGTTTTTTGTTTGATACCAACTTTTGAAGATGCCATATTATCTCATATTGCAAGAGGTAATAATGGTACTATAGTAAGGGCTCTGTGCCCGTTCACAGAGTATGGCACTATGTTGGTACTAATGTAGTCCGAATTACGTGTCCGTTCTAAGGTCACAGCACAGTACCAGCTCCATCTGTCCAGGCCCGTTATGGACCACAGAGTCAATGGCACTTTGCTGGACGGGACAGTGGACCAATCACTTACATGGGGCGCATCATTATCATCATGTAGTGATTCCAGTTTCCCTAAATGTTTTGTATTTTTTTTATCTGCCTGTCGCTCACATTTTCCTGACATTTTTCATTGTGTTGACGACTCCCGGACTCCAGACCCTCTCCTCACTTCGCCTTGCAAATCAAGTGCACCCTGTTGGTAATTTTCTCCTCCAATCAAAATTCATTCGATTTCCCCGCCCATCGAGCGTTTTTCCGTTTCCTCCCTGCCTTGGAACTTCCTTTCCGCCTGTGTAAATCTCGTCGTGAACACGCGTCTGCCTTCTCCGTGTTAAGTGAGTGTCTTCTAAAGACAATTTAGTATATATATATACCCTGTGAAAATAAGTCCAACACGGCACCATAACGTAGGCATTCCCTTCAAATATTTTTCTTACCCTAACCTAAAATTGGACAGCAAATAATGTATTGGAGATGAGTATGCTAGGCAGTTAGCATGCTACCTAACAGCCATGACATGTCACCATGTGTACTCGCTCTTACTGTTTGCCGCAAAGAAATAAGGCCCAAAACTACAGCTAGCTCATTGATTGGTAACGTTATTCGCGAGGGAGTTCTTCAATGACACATCTTAAAATTCTGATTGAAGAAACAACATTTATCAGTGACAACCTCACTAACTGGATCTTTGTGGACAGTGTGCTAGCTAGCTCATTTGCTAACCTCTTATCTAGTTAACGTTACTAGATGCTCTGGGGGCATGACATGGACAAGTGTTAATTGTTTCTGCATGTTATAGGGTTATTCTGCTAAGTTCCCTTTTGAGACATATGTACATGTGTACTACTTGTGTTTGTCAAAAGTAACTTAACTGTATTGGATATTTTATTTTTTAATGCCCTCTTTTTTTTTGGCATATGATGTATAACTGCATCATGATCTGTATTGCAGAATGCGTTACGTTGCTGCATACCTGCTCTCTGCCCTTGGTGGTAATGCCAGCCCACAGGCTGCTGACATCAAGAAGATCCTGGAAAGTGTCGGCATTGAGGCTGACAACACGCGCATGGAAAAAGTATGTTTAATATCACGTTTTATCTTAGTGTTGAGTGAAAGAGAACTTGTGTGTGTTCTGAAAGTTGAGCTCAAACAAAAGACATGCTTGTAATCTATGGAACACTAATTCCAGACCCCTATTATCTTCGCCTTCAGGTCGTCACTGAACTCGGTGGCAAAAATGTGGAGGAGGTGATTGCCCAAGGTGAGGCGCAGAACTGTCCACTGTCAATGCATAATGAAAAGTCACTGAAGTGAACACATCGACTTAAAATTAGAACCTGATGGTCAGTCTGGACTGAGCACACTGGTGGTTTAATCTACTAGAAATTTGCTTTGAAACTCTAGCAAGGCTTTTCTGCCACTGTTTTAGTGTTATTGGTATATACATCACTAAAGTTGTAGTTAAATCCGTTAACTGTAATTTCTCTGACAGGCTATGGTAAACTGGCCAGTATGCCAGCAGGTGGTGCTGTGGCAGTGGCCAGCTCAGGTGGAGCCGCTGCTGGAGCCGCTGCCCCCGCTGCAGGTGAGCATACATCAGAGCCCACATGAGTGTTCTAGATTCTTGTCAAGTTTACCTTTTGGATGTCCGTTAAATTATAGATATTGATGTGTGGGTCAGCTCAATACCGATGTGGCACTTGGTCAGTCGAGCTAAAGCTTATTTGCCATTACTAAATACATGGGAAATCTTGTAGTACTTACCAGCATTAAAACTGTTTCATTGCGAAATGCATGCGTTTTTTAATTGGTGGGGGGTCATTCATTTTAGTTACATCAAGGCTGGTAGTATGGGATCGTTTTAAAAACAGGTCATTTTCGGATTGATAAATTGTTGATCAGCACATTACTAGTACATAAAGGGTAGTTTATTTTGTTTATGAACATGTCTTTTGGTAAACTCTTTATTAGATTATTACTTTCACTATAGCTTTGAATATCTGTGTTTTCAGACAATGGATTTGGTAAAGATGGTATTGTTAATTGATTACTGTGATCTCTTTACAGCTGTGGAGAAGAAGGAAGAGAAGGAGGAGTCTGAAGAGGGATCTGATGACGACATGGGATTCGGCCTGTTCGACTAAACTTGTTAAAAATCAGAAATAAACTTTGTAAAAGAGGAAAAGGCTAAATGTTAAGCATATTTTCTGCGTTGGGTATTTTGCTTAATGAAAGGATACCATTTTGTTTCCATCTGGACACAGTTGACCACTGAAGCAGTTGGGTGCTGCATAGCCCTTGATCATGACTCCGTTCCATTACATTACAAGTCATTGGATGAGGGTGTCTTCTGTACTGGGGAATTTTGGGAAGAGCCCCGATGCTCAGTTTGAACATTAACATGCATCAATTGCGGTACTGTTTTGGAAGTATAAGTACCTCATCTTTCATCTCAGCTAGAAATGTAATGAAAACGAATGGTTAAATTGATCAACCTTTTTTGTAGGGTTAGTGTTGCCACACCAACATACAGTATCATGTTACAGCGTGTGATTACGGAAAACAGATGGAAGGTCTACTACCTGTGCTAATTGGCCATCTGCGTCTCCTAACGTATGTGAATGGATGCCACAAATGGGTTGTCGAAGGAAAAATACTGTCGGCTGCAACTGTTTACGGTGTACAGCAAGTGTGTTTTGCATTTGTGAAATTATTTTGATGTGATATGAAAGTAGGGATTTATGGAGTATTTGGCTGTTTAGGCTTCCAGAGCCAATTCGCCTTTAAACAGAACATGTAAGGTCCTAGGACTATATGGAGTAACGTTAGGCTCCTTTAGTCCATTTTTGGGCTTGGTGCTGCAGTGCAGCCATGCAGGTAGTGTGGAAGATGCCAGTACGAAGTTGCTGGTATGTAATTCTCTGAGCAGACTATTTGGTGAAAAATCTGTCGTGTGCTTAGCAGGATTGAAATGTTGGAAAAACTAAGTTTGACTGCACTAACGACACTCAATCATTTTTGTTTTCGGTATTGTGCTTGTTGGTGTGCTGTGTAAAACAGCAGATGGCGCCATTTACCCTGTTGATACGGGCCCTGTCCAGAAACAACCACAGCCCCCTCGGCACTTGTCTGAAAGTCTTGAATGGGTACTATAAGAAATGTTGAGCTCATGAGTCTGCATTTGGTATTTTATTTAGGATACCCATTAGCTACTGCTAAAGCAGCAGCTGCCTTCCTAAGGTCCACATAAAACATGACAGGCTAATACATAGCATTAATAGACAAGGACAGAAATACATACATTTAATGTAAGTATACACGCTTTCATACATTTATGCCTTCATAATCATGTGATTCATAGACACTACTGAATGCAAGTGCAACAAGTAAATCAAAAAACAAAAACGAGGTGCGTTGCAAATAGGCTGCTGACACTTTACTAAATTCCCCTGATGTGAATGAAGCTACCTTGTTTCTATAGTTACTGCCCTTAATGGGTATCCTGGGTAAATACTTTTTACAGTTACCACCCTCAATGGGTTTCCTGGGGTAACATGTAATGTCTTAAAGGTCCAATGCAGCCGTTATTATCTCAATATCAAATCATTTCTGGGTAACAATTAAGTACCTTACTGTGATTGTTTTTTCAATTGAAATGGTCCAAAAGAAACATATCTTAATAGCAAAGAGCAATTTCTCAAGCAATAATTTAGCTATGACTGTCTGGGAGTGGTCTGAGTGGGGAGGGTAAAAGGGAAAGCTAGCTGTTATTGGCAGAGGTTTGGAATGCTTTCTTATTGGTCTATTAAGTAATTTACCACCAGGTTATGTCACCAGGCAGGCCAAAACTACATCCCACCAAAACAGGCAGACATTTCAGGCAGTCTTTTCAAACAACTCTTACACTAAAAGGGCATTATCATAATTTTCACAGTATTATTCCAACCTCATAGTGTGGAAATATATATAAAAACACAGGAAAATCACGTTTTTCACTGCACTGGGCCTTTAAATGTGTGGGCCTTTTGTTACAGCTACCACCCGCTACGGGTTTCATTAGGTAAAATACAGCATTGGTACCTCCTCCACACTTGACTAAAGGCGTCTGCATGCTTCCCAGCCGAAACAGTGCATATATATGACGACATTTTGTGATGTTTTTGTTCGTTTTGGACCTCCGCAAGGTTTGTTTTTGGTTGTTCGGGCACAAAACATTTTTTCTTGAGGCAAGCCGAAGTCTACACCCCCTCGTCGGCGATTGGTCAACAGTAGGGATTCTTCAATGAAGTGCCTGGTGTCATTCAAAGAGAGACGACTCCTCGTGCACATTTTTTCACTTAAGAAATACTGCACCAAACATTCTAGTCAGATGCAAAATTATGTGACTAAGATCTCCTCGGCAAAAAACATCAACATTAATGACAGATTTCTTGAGTTATCTTAGATTAATTCAGACTGAATTGACAAACAGTACTATTGCCGCTTTTTTCTCATTTGTCAAGCGAAACTCTTTTAAGGGAGTATGCGAGCAAACACGTTAGGTTCGGCTAGGCGCCAGCCGAATTGAAGCATGCTGACGCCTTAACACATGGGCCCCAGCCCTCTGCTGTACTCCCTGTTCTCCCATGACACCAACTCCATTATCAAGTTAGCTGACGACACAACGGTTGTAGGCCTGGAAAACAACAATGATGAGTCAGCCTATAGGGAGGTAAGTGAACTGGCATTGTGGTGCCAGGACAACAACCTCTCCCTCAACATCAGCAAAACAAAGGAGTAAATTGTTGACTTCAGGAAGCAGAGGAGGGAACATGCCCCAATCCACATCAATGGGACTACAGTAGAGTCACCAGTTTTAAGCTCCTCAACATCCACATCACCGAGGACTTGACATGGACCAACAACACCAACACTCTTGTCAAGAGGGCGCAACAGCGTCTCTACTTCCTAAGGCTGCTGAAGAAATTCTGCATGCCACCCCAGGTCTTCTCCGAATACGACCGCTGCACCATCAGAGTGTCCTGACCGGTTGCATCACGGCCTGGTACGAGAATTGCTCCGTCCATGACCACAAGGCCCTCCAGCAGGTGGTGAAGACAGCCCAGTACAGGACATCTACTCGAAACGATGCCAGAGGAAGGCCCGCAGCATCATCAAGGAACCCACACATCCCAGCTATGAGCTGTTCACTCCTTTACTGTCGGGCAGACAGTATTGGAGCATGAGGTCTGATACCAATAGGCTCAGGGATAGTTTCTATCTACAAGCCATCAGACTGCTGAATACTTCAACTGGACTGACCACCTGCTCTGATTTCCACACCTTAGCACACACCCACAGTCGTGTTTAACTAACCTTGTGGGGACACACAATTAATAACCATTCAAAATCCTATTTTCCCTAACCCCTAACCCTAAACCAAACCCCAACCCTTGCCCTAACCCAACCTTAACCCCAAAACCTAACCTTAACCTAAAATCCTAACTCTAAAATTAACCCTAACTCCTAAACCTAATTCTAACCCTAACATTCTACCTTAACCCCCTAGAAATAGCATTTCAACTTGTGGGAACTAACAAAATGTCTCCAGTTGGTCCAATTTTGTTAGTTTACTATTCTTGTGGGGACTTCTGGTCCCCCTAAGTATAGTTAAACACGTCCAGACATACACCACATGACCAAAGGTATGTGGACACCTGCTCGTCGAACATCTCATTCCAAAATCATGGACATTCATATGGAGTTGGTCCTCCCTTTGCTGCTATAACAGCCTCCACTCTTCTGGGAAGGCTTTCCACCAGATGTTGGAGCATTGCTGAGGGGAATTGCTTCCATTCAGCCATGAGAGCATTAGTGAGGTTGGGCACTGATGTTGGGCGATTAGGCCTGGCTCACAGTCGGCGTTCCAATTCATCCCAAAGGTGTTCGATGGGGTTGAGGTCAGGGCCTAGTCAAGTTTATCCACACCGATCTCAACAAACCATTTCTGTATGGACCTCGCTTTGTGCACAGGGGCATTGTCATGCTCAAACAGGAAAGGGCCTTCCCCAAACTGTTGCCACAAAGTTGGAAGCACAGAATCATCTAGAATGTAATTGTATGCTGTAGCGTTGAGATTTCCCTTCACTGGAGCTAAGGGGCCTAGCCCGAACCATGAAAAACAGCCCCAGACCATTATTCCTCCTCCACAAAACGGTACAGTTGGCACTATGCATTAGGGCAGGTAGCGTTCTCCTGGCATCCGCCAAACCCAGATTTGTCCGTCGGACTGCCAGATGGTGAAACGTGATTCATCGCTCCAGAGAGCTTTACACCACTCCAGCTGACGCTTGGCATTGCACATGGTGATCTTAGGCTTTTCAGCCATGGAAACCCATTTCATGAAGCAACAGACGAACAGTTATTGTGCTGACGTTGCTTCCAGAGGCAGTTTGGAACTCAGTAGTGAGTGTTGCAACTGAGGACAGACGATCTTTACACGCTACGCGCTTCAGCACTCGGCGCTCCCATTCTGTGAGCTTGTGTGGCCTACCACTTCACGGCTGAGCCGTTGTTGCTCCTAGACGTTTCCACTTCACAATAACAGCACTTACAGTTGACCAGGGCAGCTCTAGCATGGCAGAAATGTGACAAACTGACTTGTTAGAAAGGTAGCATTCTATGACGGTGCCATGTTGAAAGTCACTGAGCTCTTCAGTAAGGCCATTCTACTGCCAATGTTTGTCTATGGAGATTGCATGACTGTATGCTCGATTTTATACACCTGTCAGCAATGGGTGTGGCTGAAATAGCCGAATCCACTAATTTGAAGGGGTGTCCACATACTTTTGTATATATAGTGTACATGCAGTGGTGTGAAAAAGTGTTTGCCCCCTTCCTGATTTCTTATTTGTTTGCATGTTTGTCACGCTTAAATGTTTCAGATCAAACAAATTTAAATATTAGTCAAAGATAACACAAGTAAACACAAAATGCAGTTTTGAAATGAAGGTTGTTGTTATTATTAAGGGAAAACAAAATCCAAACCCACATGGCCCTGTGTGAAAAAGTGATTGCCCCCTACAACCTAATAACTGGTTGGGCCACCCTTAGCAGCAACAACTGCAATCAAGCGTTTGCGGTAACTTGCAATGAGTCTTTTACAGCACTGTGGAGGAATTTTGGCCCACTCATCTTTGCAGAATTGTTGTAATTCAG